TATAACACAATAGCTCGTTAGCGATATCATGGAAAGGCCCTGCAAGGGTTCCAACATCAGGTAGTTCCGTACACAATTTCCATGGGAGCCACTACTCACACTCCAGTCAGGAATCTTGCTGGATTTGAGAAGGCACTTTCAGTGATGCCTAGAGCGCCAGCAAATAATACAGGTCAAAACTCTGTTCCAAGTGGTGCAGAGACAGAAGAAGTAGAGAGGGAGAGAGAAGGGCAGGAGAAGGGGAAGAAGGAGAAAAAGAGCAGCATGGGGTGAAAAAGAGAGCAGGCGGACAGAAAAGAAAAGAAGGGGCAGTTAGCTAGTCAGCATAGTAGGAAAGGGCATGTACCAAAACAGAAATTTAAATAGTAATGAAAGTAGGGAGTAGGAAGGGGTGCGACCATTCCCTCAATGATGCTACTGAATAACCGAGTCTCCCCTGCATAGGGGGGCCCATGTATTTAGATAGTGAGTAGCTCACGAAAGGCATCTGTGGTGCAAAAGTGTATCCAAACACTCCAGACAGCATAAAATTGAGAGTAGCGATCGTACAGGTTGGCCGTAAGTTCTTCTGTTCCACAGAGAGGCATCTCTTCAATCCACTCTTTCAAAGTGGGGTTCAGAGGGGATTTCCAATGCCTCGGTATCACCGCCCTAGCCGCCAGCACAAAAATCTCAGCAAGCCCCTCTTAACAGACTTGTAGGAGCCCGGAAACATGGAAAGAAGGGCCAGCTGTGGGGAGCCCTCCACCCCGGAGCCCGTAGGTTTCTCATATGTGGAGAAAATGGAAGACCAGAATCCGGTCACCCCATCACAGCTCCACCATATGTGCAGCATGGAGCCAGGATGCAAAAAGCATCTCCAGCATATGTCCGAAGTCTGGGGGTAGAAAACTCGGAGACGTGTCGGGCAATAATACCACCTGGATAGGATTTTAAAATTGCGCTCCTGAATCTTACTAGCTATGGAGGTCCTGTGAGTGAAGGCAAGTGCCCTGTTAATGTCTTAAGTAGAGAAAGTACACACAAGGTCCTTTTCCCATTCCGCAAAATACCTGGGGATGTCCGAGAATAAGAGCTGTAGTAAGAGGTCATAAATAGTGGAGATGGCCCGTCTCGGTGGCTCAGTGTCAACACACAGACGTTCAAAGGGGTACAGGTCCCTGTGTAAGTCACCTCGTTTAGCGAGAATGGCATAAAAGTCCCGCAGTTGGAAATACTCCAACCATTGCCCATGTTGTGGAGCCAACTCCGCTAGTATGGAGGTCAACTTGCGTAGTCCCCCCCGTCATGAGGGCCAAAAATAGAGGTGTCAGGTCCGTGCTGCGCCAGCCTAGGAACCTTATCCTGTGTCTAGCAGGGGGGAACTCTGGGTTGCCCATAATGGGAGATAGAGGGCTAGGATTTTACTAAGGAGACCAGAGGGTATACCAATGTACTGTAGGGTGGCCGACAGGAAAGCCCAAATAAGGCGGTCAAAGGCTTTCTCTGCGTCCACCGACAGGAGACACAGCGGGATGTGACGGGCATGAGCGTAGGCCATGAGGGTAAAGGATTTAGAGGTATTATCACGGGCCTCCCTGGAAGGGACAAAGCCCACCTGGTCTAAATGAATCAGGGACGGGATATGCGTTTTCAGTCTATTGGCTATGATTTTTGCATATATTTTTATGTCCAAATTGATTAAGGAGATGGGTCTGTAACTGGCGCAAGAAGAGGGATATTTCCCCTCCTTGGGCAGAACAGTTATGAGCGCTTCCTGGGATTGCTTGGGAAAGGTGCAGGAACTTGAGATGGAGTTAAATGTATGCTCCAGGAGGGGCAGCAAGGGGTCATGGAGACTTTTAAAAAAGGGACGGGTATAGCCATCGGGGCCCGGGCTTTTGCCAGAAGGCAAAGATTTGATGGTGTCTGAGATTTCCATCAGCGTAAAAGGAGCGGCTAAGGATTGGGCCACCGATGAGGAAAGGCGAGGAAGGCCAGTCCTCTGTAAATAGGCTAAGATCTTGTCCTTGGGACAACCCACCCCCCTTGAGGAGCTGCCGGGCCCAAATTATACAAAGAGGTGTAGTACGCATGAAATGCCCGGGCTATATCCTCAGAAGAGTGAACCCTACCCTGTTGTGAGCAGTGAACGGTGGGCACATAGGTCCGGAGTCGTTTTGCGCGGATGGAACGAGCCAATAAACTGCTACACTTGCCACCAAACTCATGAAAGTATCTGAGGGTCAGGTCTCTGTGGCGTAGATAAGTTAAATCTAAGACCGCGTGAAGTTCTGCACGGAAAGTGAGAAGGTCCTGGTAAAGAGACGGGGAAGGCGTTGCCTTATGCTTCAGCTCAATGTCAGCCAATTTCGTCAGGAGTCCAGAAATACACTGGGCTCGCTCCCTCTTCAACCTAGCCCCATGCTGAATGAGTACGCCACGCAGGACGCACTTAAGAGCCTCCCACTGTATAGGGGGTAGCGTCTCGTCAGACGAGTGATGTTCCCTAAACTCTCTAATCGCCGACCTGAGTGCATCTAAGATAATGGGATCTTTCAAGAGCGACTCGTTAAGTCTCCACGAGGGGGAGCTTTTAGACGTGCCTGGAACCGAAAAAGAAAAACTGGAAAGTGGCTAGACCAGATTTGGGGGCCAATGGTCGCGCTCGGGCGCCAGCTAAGCAAAGAATGAGACGTAAACAAATTGTCAATCCTACTGTAGGTGGCGTGGGGTACTGAGTAAAATGTATAGTCCTTCACTGTCGGGTGTAACGTGCGCCAAATGTCGACTAATTGTAGCACCCTCAGGCGTTTCCGAACCGTATTGAGAGAAGGCAGGGAGACATGGGTTTTACCGGAGGATGAATCTAGTACAGGGTCAATCACAAAATTAAAATCCCCACCAACAATAGTATGCCCAGCCATGAAATTTTCTAGTTTAGCCATGATAGACAGGAAGGCTCGCTTCTGTCCCGTATTAGGCATGTAAATATTGGCCAGGGTGAAAGGCATTTGGTAAATTAGGCATTGAAGGAAAAGAAACCTACCCTCAGAGTCTGACATAACCTTAGTGACACCACTGCCCTTTATTATATCCTGGCATGGATAGTCCAAATAAGTTTTCCTGGTAGATGGAAGCTGGCTTTCAGGACGTATTTTCCATGCTTACGCCCCAGGGGATTAATTCCTTTGCACAACTCAAAGAATCATACCAAATACCACGAGCTGAACTATTCTGGTATCTCCAACTACGCAATTTTGTACAATCATTATGCAGTTCAGCTACTCCACCCTACCCGTATAGTCCCTTTGAACACAGATGTCATAGAGACCCTCACTCTCCCGGCCTGATCGCCCTGATACAATCCTAACTATCTGCACATCTCTCTAGTGGCACTATGTCCTATCAAACCAATTAAGAAGAGTTGGGCTCTTCAATATCGGAAACAGACTGGTCGGCAATCTGGAGTAACATAAATTCTTGTTCCCGAAATGTTCTGACACAGGAAAACCTGTACTAGGTGCTACTGCGCTGGTATTATACTCCATCCCGCATGCATAAAGTTATTTCCTCACATTCTCCCATATGGTTTCGCAGCTGTGGAAAGTTGGGCACTATGAAACATATTTGGTGGGACTGAGCTAAGGTTAAAAGCCTATGAATCCAAATGTATGCCTTAATCAACACTGTATTGGGATGTAATTTACATAAAGACCCATGGGAGGCGCTTTTACATAAGCCTATAATAGTTGTACTTAAGCGACAGCAGTGCTTGATCTCCCACATATTCATGGCTACCAAACAAACAATTGCCAGATCCTGGAAATCCCCTGTGCTTAACTACCTGGAATTGAAAAACCGTATCACTGATGAGGACTAATGAACAATTAGCGTCAATCTTGACAGACTCATATGCCAAATACGAGAGGATCTGGGGAGCTTAGATCTCATACGCCAGTCCACTACACTTTGACCCAACCCAGATAACAATCTAATCAGCCCCCACAAGGGGAACAGAGGAAAGCCACCCGACCTACTTGAGTCTATGTTCATCCTGCACTAACCCCCCCCCCTCTATTCTCCACGTTGTACTTGTCTTTTCCTACCCCAACCGACCCTCCTGTGTGACATCCTACCCCCTTTCCCCACCCTATCGTCTCTGATTACTGGGATTAGCCTCCCAGGAATCAGATCAAAATTAGCTGTGGGACCAGCTTACGGTCCTCAGTATATACGACCTTACTCGGAAGGTCCTCACTAGATGGATCGTTTGGAACTTAGGTTTACTATAAGAAACCATCTAATTTGTTTGATAAAGGTATATACTAAACCTACTAATCCTTAATTCCAATGAAATTTCCTGGCTGCTGCATCAGCACCGCTTTATATTATATCATTGTGTTCTGTTAGTGTGCTTATTTGAAAACAATAAAAATTTTGTGGAAAAGAAAACAATTGTTGTCCATGTTCCCTAGTGGTGACTGGTGTTGTTCAGTTGCTGAAGGATGCCAGTCACCGTATATAGTGTGAATGTGCCCTTACAGTTTATTTTCTTCACGAAGTAGCTACAACCCTAAGTAGAAAAGCCCTAACTTTGCAAACATGCTGCATAGTGCAACTCTTTCTGTTCATTGATAAGCAGTGGTCTCTTTACAGAGGCCTGACACACACACACCCCCACCCTCCCCCCCACCCCCCTATTGCATCAGAGCCACAGGTCTCCATTTAGCAGGGAGCATGAGCTTTAAGTATGACTCTGTAGAGGGTGTCTTGGACCTTTGTAAAAAGACCACTGCTTCCACACAGAGAACAAAGGTCCTATCTTACAGGCTATTCTACTCAGGCTGTAGCAGCATTAGGAAAATATTCTGTAAGACATTGAACACCCTTTTGTTTAGATGCTTCTAGAATATATTTAGTCACACTGAAGGTTCAATTGGGTTTTAATGTCAGTTAGTCCCTTTTCTACAATAATAACAAATCTATGATAAAAGATGAAGAAAGGGTTGCAAACTTACCAACTGCTCCCCTGAAAGTACTTCAAGTAATTTTAACAGCATCCTTCCATCTCTTAGGTCCATGTAGAGATCTGAAATCCGACAGCTCACAAAAGCAAGATGGGAGTTCACCCATTTTGTAAACGTCTTTTTTTGCACAACTTCACGTTCATCTGAATTACAAAACACATACAGAACTCATTTATTCTGTGAATAGTATTTATTATTGTTTTTAAAGTGGATTAGTCTGCATTATGGTCACCAGATGGAGCTGAGGCACATAGGAAATAAGCATTTATTTCCTATGGTCCTCAGCTCCATCTAGTGGATATAATGCAGTATTATAGTAAATCTGACCTGAAAAGATAGTATGTTAAGAACATTTGTTTTGGCTCTATTCACACAGAGTTGTTTATAAATAGACCCCTTATAGTGTATTTAAACCCAAGTACAACCATTTTTTGCAGGGCTAATGGATCCCTAAGTGTATTTGAAATAAAGTCTTTACTAGCAGTGATATCTAGTCTAATGGTAAAAAGTTCAATAAAGTCCTTACTAGCAATGGTAAACCTGCTCTTCTGAAGGTCAGAAGGCAAATTGCCCTTTACTATTTCCGTAATCTTGGGGCAGAACAGTGGTTTAGTGGTTAGTACTTTTTCCTTGCAGCCAGGGGCGGGCCTACCACCGGTGATCTCTCTGCTCTTGGAGAACATTCAGGTATTAGGGAACAGGGCGGGGTCTCCACTCAGCACAGATGAAATCATAATTCCACCCCCTCCTATATGCTTAGTGGACAGGTCCATGCAGGGATTGTGGCTCCGCCCCCTCACACCATCTCTATGGAAATGCCTCTGCTTCAAGCAAACTTCAGGTAAAGAAACATAGCTGGGTGAGTGCAGTCCCGGGGTGTCTCTAACACTTCTGGGGGTGTCAGTGTAACTCCTGGGGAGTCCACAGAAAGTACTGGGGATGTCATTGTCCTCTCTCATCATTTCTTCTTTTTCACTTTGAAGCAACATTCACTTTTTTTTTATTACTAGCATCTTCAGTAGGAATTTGTCATTAGAGGAGATGGGTGCTACTGCTCGCTTCTCTCTGCAAATGCTGACTATAATATTTATCCTCTTGCTTCCCAACATTCCTATTAACAAATATGAGGATCATGGACATCCTTTCACTGTGGTATATATCAGAGCTATAGCCAGAGGTGTATCTAGAACCTTCAGGGCCCCAGTGCAAGAGCCTTGTTCCTCGTCTTGGCGGCCAGGGGGTGGAGCTAAGATATGGCCCTCTTAGCTCCGCCCCTAAGAGGCGGGGCCAGCTCATTCTCCAGGATCAGTGACAGCGTCTCCAGCCCTTTCGCACAGCCGCCCGTACATGCTGTTGGTGGCTGTGCGACAGTGGAGGAGCGGCATGATCGCGGGGGGCCCTCTACTTGCTTGCTGGGCCCTCCCAAGTGGCGGAACGCCAGGGCCCGGTTGCAATTGTGACCGCTGCGACCCTGGTAGTTCCGCCAGTGGCTATAGCAATGTATAATAAAAATAGTGTCTGACTGTGGGGGACATTAGAGTGTAAGCTCCTCTGTAGAGAGACTGATGTGACTAGCTCAGTGTTCTCTGTACAACACTGCGGTATATGTGGGTCATATATAAATGTATAATAATAGTGTGTGGCTGTGTGGGGACATAAGAGTGTAAGCTCCTCTGGCGCAGTGACTGATGTAACTGGCTCAGTGTTCTCTGTACAGCACTACGGTATATGTCAGAGCTATATAAATGTATAATAATAATAGTGTGACTATCGGGGGACATTAGAGTGTAAGCTACTTTGGTGAAGACCAGGGCAGAGCAAGGCTGGGGGAGGGCCCAGCGAAATCTGGTCCCGGGCCCCCCACCATTGGAGGAGGCAAGGTCAACGGGCTTTTGAGTGGGGATGGAGGCCCGAAAAAAAATCTTGCACCTGGGCCCTTTGTTCCTTAGGTCCGCTACTGTTTGCAGCACTTGGTGGCCTCCGGTTAGTATCCTGGTCAGTACACTATCTGCAAAGAGTTTGCATGTTCTCCCTGTGCTTGTGTGGGTTTCCTCCCACACTCCAAAGACACGCTAGAAGGTTAATTGGATCCTGTCTAAGTTGGCCCTGTATGCGTGTACAATAGGGACCTTAGATTGTAAGCTTCTTCAGGGCAGGGACTGATGTGAATGTGCAGTATGTAAAGTCCTGCATAAATTGTCGGCGCTGTCTAAATACCTGCAATATTAATAATACTCTGAAACATTTAGAGTTTTATCATGTAACCAATCATACCTGCAAGGGCTTTAATCCTTGATCGCTCAAACATACGAGCAGAGCTGTTGTCATTGTCCAGGTCATCTTCAGTGGCTTCCCAGCGGGAATTCACACAGCTATACTGCTGTTCAATTTCCAGATTATCAAAGTCTGTGGTCTGCATTTTCTTCTTTTATTGTCCAGTTACACTCCAGCATTAAATTATCATTCCTAAAGAACAGAAATTTATTACATTTCAGCAACTCACCTTGTATATGAATGTTCTCTTTTAAAAGATTCTTACATAAATATGTTAAAAAGATCGGCTTTGAGTAAATGATCTAAGCATACTTCTAAAAGAGTTGGGACACTGTGTAAAATCTACATAAAAACAGAATGCAATGATTCGCAAATCTCATAAATCCATATTTTATTTACAATAGAAAATAGAAAACATATCCAATGTTTTAAACTGAGAAAATGTACAATTTTAAGAAAAAATAGGTTTGTTCTTTTTAAAATTAATTACAGCAAGCAGTCTCAAAAAAGTTGGGACAGGGCAACAAAAACATGGCAAAGTAAATGGTACAATCAGGGAAGAGATGGAAGAACATTTTCCAACTACTTAAGTTAATTGGAAACAGGTCAATAACATGATTGGGTGGGGCGTGGCCTGGCTATGGCGGAGTGAAGAAGCACATTGCCTGAGCTCTGCTACCACTTGAGACTTTTCAGCTGATCACGGCATCCCAAACCCTCTTTTTTGATGTCGCAGAAGACCAAACTCCGTTCTAACGAAGACAAGCGCCCTCAGACATCCCTTCAGCGCTTCCTCTCCAAGAGTTGCTAACGGACCCAGGGCCCTACATTTTCTGCGCGGCACCTCTTGGCCCGTATTATTTGCCTCGACCTCCGCCCCAAACTCTCCACCCCTGGACCCATGGCGCAACATGCAACTTCTCCACTTCTTAAAATCTCTCCCCGATCCTGCCCGCCTCTCCAGACCACTGTCCCAGTATGAGCAGGAATGTACTCGAGAGGGCCCAGCACGACACGTCCTGTCCTTCTGCTACAAATTGCTACTCTCCAGCTGCACCCCCGACAGTCTTTGGTTCCTTACAAGGTGGGAGGAGGATCTGGGGATCCAGTTCACTCCAGGTGAGCGCACAAAATTACTTGTGCTGTCCTACCAATCGTCCATCAGCAATAGGTACCAGGAGACGGGATACAAATTAGTAACCAGGTGGTACAGGACACCTCATTCGCTCCATTCTATTTACCCCCAGACCCCAGATGTCTGAAGGTTTATGGCCTGCTCGTAAGACAAATGCCACACGGGCCGGTGTGCGCAAAGACACACTGCCCGCTCAGCATTGCAGTCATCGGAAGCCCTCCCCTCAGCGGGGCGGGCTTGCGATGATCGCAAGTACGATCTGCCTGTCCAAGATGGGCAGATCATACAAGCTTTTAATTAGCTTCCAACCATCGAAAGATGAAAGTCTCAAACTCAAAAAATATGTACCTAGAATGTGAGAACATTTTTATAAATTGTGAAATTGTCACAAAGTGATAAAACAACTTTGTGTTATCCACAATTTGATACAATAAAGTCTTTGAACTATGTGAGGATATATCTTCCAACTTTTATAATCCACATCATGTCCGTGAATGCATAAACAATTAGTGAATCAGTGCTCTACACCGTGCTCAATGATAAGATCTGGCTGCACTCACCGACTCCTATTGCTCAACATATTTCAGATGAACAATTAGCACTTTGTCATATATATAGAACCAAATCCTCTCCTTTGTTTTTGATCCGACAATAAATTGGGGTATATTCCTCCCAACTCTGGCTTACCTTTCCAAAACCGTATAACACTATTCCTCCATCTTCCACCTTCTCTTCTACTCAGAGAAAAAAAATTAATTAAAATAAGGCAATTGCACATGGCTTGTGTCCGCTGGAGTTCCTGTCTCCATGATTGTAATGCTTGCATGGATCCGCCCACCTAATGCATTTCGTCACTATTGACTTCCTCTGAGGCAGACCGTCCTCGTAGTTCAAGGACTTTATTGTATCAAGAAGTAATGGACTTCACATATGGATATGTAGATTAAGTGGGAGTTGTACATCACTTGTGAGATTTAATACAGGATTTTCTATATGTACACATTCTATGAGATGTACTAGCACAAGTATATGTTTTTTTGGTATTCACATTGTATTTTATTTATTTATTTTAATTTTTTTTCTATGTTTATTATGGTTTATAGTTTCTTGACCATTAGACCAAGAGTTTTTCTGAATTATTATTAGCACAGGCATTGTGCAACACAGATGTTGTGGATAACACACAATTTCACAATTTATAAACTTTTTCTGACATTTAAGGTATATATTTTTTGAGTTTGTGAAGCGCATTGCCATTTTCTTTTTTCCATTTCAGAATAATGTTCTTCAAGGTAAAATTGCCAAGACTTTAAATATATCATCATCTACAGTACATAATATGTAAAATTCCAAGAATCTGGAGAAATCTCTGTGCGCAAAGGACAAAGCCAAAACGCAATATTGGATGCCTGTGATCTTCATGCCTATAGATGGCACTGCATTAAAAACAGGCATGCTTCTGTGATGGACATCACTGTATGGGTTCACGAACACATCCAAAAATCACTGTCTGTGAACATAGTTCGCTGCGCCATGCAAAAATGCCAGTTAAAGCTCTATCATGCAAAGAAGAAACAATATCTGAACATGACCCCGAAACGCTGCAGACTTCTCTGGGCAAAAGCTCATTTAAAATGGTCTATCGTAAAGTGAAAAACTGTTCTGTGGTCAGACAAATGAAAATGTTACATTCTTTTTGGCAACCATAGGTGTCATGCCTCTGGAGTAAAGAGGAGGGGGACCTTCCGTCTTGTTATCAGCGCTTAGTTCAAAAGCCTGCATATCTGATGGTATGGGGGTGCAATAGTATGTATGGAATGGGCAGTTTGCAAATCAGAAAAGGCACCATCAATGCTGAAAGATACACTATATTGCCAAAAGTATTGGGATGCCTGCCTTTACATGCACATGAACTTTAATGGCATCCCAGTCTTAGTCCGTAGGGTCAGTGGTGGAGCTAAGGAACAAAGGGCCCTGGTGCAAGATTTTTTTTGGCCCCCCCCCCATCTGGCGGGCCCCCCATCTCTGTGCCGGATGACACTCCCGGCGCAGAGACTGGGGGCCCGCTGGCTGCTGGATACCTGCTCTCTATATACATTGCCCCCTCCTCTCTATATACATTGCCCCCCTCTCTCTATACATTGCCCCCCCCCCTCTGAGAGGGTCCCCGCCCACTCCGCTGGTATATAGAGAGGGCACCTAAGGGGGGGGCTAATGTATAGAGAAAGGGGGGCAATCTATAGAGAGAGGGGGGGGGCAATGTATATAGAGAGGGGGGAGAGGAGGCAATGTATATAGAGAGGGGGAAGGTGGGCAATGTATATAGAGAGGTGCCTTCTCTGTATACATTACCTCCCTCTCGCAGTCGCACGCTCTGCCTCTCCCGCTCACAGCCGACGAACCCAGCGGAGTGGGCGGGGACCGGGCAGTAGCGCGCTGTGATTGGTGGAGGGTTGCCGTGGCGATAGAATGCTGACCCGGCACGGGAGCCGCGCTGTGTCAGATTACACAGCGCTGCTCCCGATCGGGCTAAGCATTCTATCGCCATGGCAACCATCAGTATCCGGCGGCCGGCGGGCCCCC